GATATCGTTGTTAGAAGTAATTAGTAGCGAAACATTTTTAATGCTTGGCGAGCATTGAGATGCCTACGGCGAGTCCATCCCCTCTGCCCCGCATCGCTCGACCGCCTGCTCAAGCTATATAAACCGGGCGATGTAGCGCGCGATCCTAGGATACTTTTTACCGCGGGAAAATATCTTATTTCTGAGGAAAAATACAAAAACTGCAATGTAAGAGTATACTAATATGTAACACCTAAGAATTTAGTTTTTGGTCATCTGAACGCGGGCGGAGCCGCGGGCAATGCTAGTATGAAATAAAAAAGGGATATATTTTCTTATATTAGTAATACTGTGAAGCTGGGCTCGAGAACCACTCAACTAGTTTTATCAAACGAGACGCCGTTTGAAGCGGGCCATACGTTTTTAGCTTTACGTACTTACCGTACCAACACCATGTGTGAGACACGGGGACACCTCAAATTCCGCTTTTTTTATATCGTTGAATCATTACAGGGCATTTATTTTACAAATAATAAACTGATTCTATTGAATATAATAAAATATATATAGAGATAATAATTTATTAAGTAAATAGTATTATTATTATCATCATTTAAATCCCTTTTTCTCCAGATTCTACTTAATTCCCTCGGAATCGAACCCGAGCCTTTGATAACGTATGCTTTTTCCAAACTACGTCCCTACGGTTACAATTTAATTTTATTCTTATAATAAAAAACTATGCTAGAATGGTAATAAAAATAGTTTTCTACATTTACTTGGATAACACTGTTAATTAACGTGTCTGACCAATTTGATAGACGTTGTTATTTTTATAATAACGCGAGGAAATAATAAGGAAGCAACTAAGCGTTGTATCTTAATACAAAAAACATAATAATAACTGTAGGATAAATAATAAATATATAATTACTGTATTGGATATTTATTATTTGTTATTCTTATGTGAAAATTACTGGTTAAGAAATTAGAATTAAAAGCATTTTTTGTGTTTTCCGGGATAAAAAGTAACCTATGTGCTATTTCAGACTATACTTAATCTACCTCTGTGCCAAATTTGATCCAGATCCGTTCGGACGTTCTGGCGTGAAATAGTAACAAACATCCATGATGCATCCCCACAAACATTCACATCTATACCTACATATAATAAAACTGTAGAGGTCGAATGTCTCGTACATAGAAAAAAATGCTAAAATCCGAGTCAGGGGGATGTAAGAAGAGAAATAGAACAAATCCAGATTTTTTCAATTTTTTTGTTTCTCTGTCTGTTTGTATGGGCTAATTTCCAAAACTGTTGGACTGATTTAAATGAAATTTTGCATGGTCGTACCTTATATCTCCGGTCAACATTTTAGATACTTTTCATCCCGGAAAATTAAAGAATTTCCGTGGGATAATTAAAAAACTATAGTAACTTATACAGCTTATTACACAACAACTTATGCACCTAATTTAGTAAAATTTGGTATGCTTATGTTGCCGGTCAAACAACAGGTTACTTTTTATCCCGAAAAAATGAAAGGTTCTCGTGGGATAGATTGTGCTTTTCTAGAGGTGAACCCGAGCGAATCGAGAGTGAGCCGCTATTTAACTTATAATATTAGTGTGGATTAGTATGGATATGGATTAGTATGCATTAATGAATGAGATAAATAGCGTTTTATATAATAAAAGCGTGAGAAAATCACTCATAAAATGTAAGAAAAAAAGAGATTACATTTTATCAGCTGTTATTGTGATTCCAATCGCTGCAAATTGTTCGTTGTAAATTGTATTTTTGTGAGCGTTGAAAGAAATTGGATTATCGCTTCTTACTTTCTGTATAAAATTTATAAAATGATAAAGTAGGTACATATTCTTTCCAAACAAAGTTGTAAAGAACTTTGTCACTAAATAATATAAATCAAACTCAATAGACGTAAGTACTGTGTATAATTTATATAATATATGTACATATATGTATATAATAGCATAATCTGTTGTAGTACAGTATCTTTACGCACACAAGTATACCAAAACTGTTTAAATAAAACAATGCTTCTAAACAGGCGTCACGATATCTAAACTCTTAAAGATTTATTTATATAACCTATAGGTATCATATAATACTATACTAGTACTCTATAGGTAGTTCAGTTAGTTACAGTTAATAATCGATTTCTTAGAAATTTAATTAATTACATAGAAATTTACCTGGAGGTGTTAAAGGTAGGTACAGATAGCGAAATATGATATGCGCGTGAGAAGCCAGCAACGAGCTCAATAGTTTGTAAAATATCGATCAATATGTTCTAAGTAGCGTAGAACCAAGCATCCACTCCATATAGGTTACAACCCCATTTCCCTACCATATCCTATATCTCAGGTAACGCCCAATGACGCGGATGGTGTTCCATGCATGCATAATACACATTTGTTTACCATTGAGTTGGTCGTTTATTTATTATCTATCTGGAATAATAAAACATATAAATAGTAGGTAATATTTAACTTTATTATATAAAAAACTAAAAAAAAAATGCCTGGAAGCCGGTTATTTTATTTAAATTTTTATTTTCCCATTTTTAGTGTGGACGAAATAAGCAGGTAATTTGTAGGAAGAAAGTTTTTAATAACATATTCGATTAAGCCATTTATTTAAAAATAATTTATTGTTGATTTGAAAAAAAATCGCTCGACCGATTTCGATAAAATTTAAATCGGACCACCTGGGAAACATACCCATTGTAAAAAAATATATTTCCAAATCGGTTCAGGAGACTTCGAGTAACCGATGAACATACACAAAAAAAATACATACACACAAACATAGAACCTCCACCATTTAAGGAAGTCGGTAAATAAAATGTTATCTAAGAAGTTACTACACAAGTGTATACTCGTATTATACCACGTAAAAACGTAATGTTACATTACTAATGTATGAATATGAATTAAAAATTTATAATCTGTATCATTGCGCTAGGCGGCTAGACTATTGTTTTTAGCTCTTACAAGGTACTTACATAAAAACCGAATGAATTAAAAAGATAGCAATTAATACAGAAATAAATTTGTTATTATGGCACCGTTGTTGTATAACTAATACTTAATTATAATTTATGCCACTGGAAATAAAACGTACCTATTCAACGTTTCGTTTCGACACACATCAGAAAACTGAATTATTAAGTAGGAACTTCATTGCCTACGACAAATGTACTCGTAATAGGTATCTTATGCTCTCGTTCATAAAACGATCGAAAATATTAAAAAGACAATAACAATAATCAGTCTTTATTTATATTTTGAGTAATAAAAATTCGTGTGTCGTGTGTTTGTTGATGTAGATACCTAAATTGTCACGAAAAATTTAATATAACAAAAACAAAGGGTTCCGCTGAATAACGAATGAAATGTCAAATCTTTTTTCTTTCTGTTCAATTTACACGTAGATATTGCCCGCGTTTTCACCAGTAGTGTTATTTAATTTTACTTGGTTTATACTGGGATATAACGATGCTTAGGTGCAAATGTATTTCAAAGAAATTTCTACTTTATCTCTACTACATATGGTTTAAATTCGATTTTTCAAAGTAGGTACATAATTAGAATGGCAATGGCTACAATGGCAAGCGATAAGACTAGGTAACTATGAGTCTATGAATAATGAAAATGCTCATAAAATATAATGTGTTCATACATGATACATATAATTACATGTTAAGAAATTTTTATGTAATATATTGTAAACCTATAAGATTTTTTTATTACCTACTTCAAGTTTAAAGGGACAATAGAATGTTATACCTTCGTTTGAAATATAATTATTTATTACAAAAGTTTAAGTTTACTAGTTACCTAGTACAAAGTATCTTTAAGTCTTGTTACAAACTGGCAATCACAAACAAATTCCCGCCTAAAATCTCCATATAATTTGAAAATGGCGTCTAAGCACAAGCAGTTTAGTTTTTACCTGCCAAAAACTTTAAAACCGTACCCAGTTCTGGTTAACAAATTCATATTCTGACGAAATCACCGACAAATGCCAAGATTTCTTTCAAAAGCCAACGACCTAAACACAACCGCGTTTTATTTGCTTTTACACCGTGACTATCGTGCATTATTACCACGTAATAAGGTTTTATTTAGAATATTTTAGTCTAACTATAACGTATCCATATTTATTGTTACACAGATCTTATGACTTGATGCTTTTCTGGCACAAAAGGTGAACCGTAATCACATTGGTGGAAAATAAAACTGTTTGTGTAGAATTAACTTAATACTTCGCAAGCTATTGGAATCACTAATGCATTTTACAATAATGGCATAAAAATCTTAAAATATGCGTGAGATTGCCAAAATATTTAGCACCGCATTATTTTTCTGATGATATTTGATAAGCCAATGAACTTTTGGAAATACACGAGTAGGTTTTTTACACAACTTCTTTCAGTTTCGTTTAAGATAATATTATATTATCTGATAACTGATTGAGGTTTATTTTAAATTCAACCTTTGCTTTACAATTAATAAAAAAATAACTACACCGGATATCGGTTTTGTTTTGCAATATTGCCCAACATTTACTTCAGTTTTATTTAAATAATTTATTATTATAAATAATAATACTTATAAGAATTAAAATATAAAATATACAACTTATATTTCCTGCGCGGTGAAACATTTTAACGATTAATGTTTTTCAAACAAGACAGAGTCAGCTAGATTGTTTCCCGCGTCAAGAAATTCAAGGTTGTTTAAAGATGAATGTGTAACTATAGCCATCTCATTCTTTCATTATAGTACGCTCATAATGCTATTTCAGAACGTGAAGTTAGCGCGCTAGCGTCAGGTTGAACGCGCGGCCCCGCGAAACACAGAGCACATTTTCTTCTTTCTTCCTCTTTCATTTGGTCGTCGGTGTTTGTGCAGTGAACATTGTTTTGCGTTGTGCGTAGCACGTGCCGGATACTTTTTCTGTATTTTTAATTAATCTTAAAGTAACTTAAACAATGGCAGACGCAGCCGTCGAAAAGAAGTAAGTAAAAAGTGTTTGTTTATGTCAACTACCAATTAGACTAAGTTGTTTTATTTTTGGCGGCTTTGAGAAACGTGATCAAAATGGCTTCCTTTATTATGTTTCATATATATTTATATACTTTTCTTAATAATATTATATTTTTTCATTATAATATTAATTTTAAGGTGTTCTGAATTATGATAAGTTATATTTTGGAAAATTTTGATAATAGAAAGATGCTAAGTTGTAGGACGCCGCCACGCGGGAAAACTCCATTACTTCAAACATTGTTGAATACTTTTTCCAATGTAGTAAATGTATTTAGATCGATGTTATAAAAATAGTTTCATTATATAAAATTAATTAATTATTCAATATAAGTAGTTACGTGCATTAAATTAACGGGAAAATGGGAAGCACGCCGGCGGCGCGAGTCGCTTATTCAAGATGGCGCTGTGTGCGCAGCGTGCCGGCGCGTTAGCGTCATCGGCGCGCGCTTGTTTCAAATTCGCCGAAGCTTGCGAGTTTTGCAACTCGACGGTTACGTTATAACTTATAGCCGCTTGAGGGCCACCGTGTTGTCATTAGTTATTTTTAACGCTTTTAGGTCCGCGTATCGACAATCTACTGGAGCGAGTAACTTATTCAATTTACCGTTTATTTTCCTAGTGACTTTCCCACATGCATGTATGCAGCCTTGCGCAACAATTGCCACTTGTTTTTGTTCCGGCACACTTCCCTTCTATCGCCCCACTTGATAAATAAGTGCGTTTTTAATAGGTTACGCACGTTAGTGGTACCTTGAACAACTGGAGCATTCGTTTATAATATTTGTTATAAGAATTATTTTTACTACCTACTGGTTTAACAATAGATTTGATTTTATTGTAAAAACGGTTTAATTGTACAAAGTATTTTTGGCGCCAAATCTATGATGCATTAAATATCTATCAGTTAACGTAAGAGACTGTTTGTAATAAAAATATTAACTTTTCAGAGACGCCGTACCCGAGGAAGTTACCTCAACTGAAGCGACTAAAGAGTCGCCAGTTAAGAAGTCTCCCGCCAAAAAGGTTGCGGAGCCTGAAAGCAACGGCAAAGAGGAAAATGGTAGCGGAGATGCACCTGAGGAAACTCCCGCCGAAAACAGCGACGAAAACTGCGAGGACAGCAATGATGCTATCGAAAACGGAGATGCAACAGGTTTGTTATATTTCTCAATATACAATGTATAAACTAAAATATTATGTTGATGTCATGCTACTTGAGTAAATATTCACTATATATTTTGTTGCACTATTATTGCAACATATTTAATTTATATTGCAATTATTTTTATGGTTCAATTCTTAAAGGAACTAAAATATTAAATGTATTTTATTTGAACACTTGCAAATAATATTGTATTATTTTAATTATAACAAAATAATTTAATAGTCATAAATATTCATCTATTACAGAAAAGAAAGAGGCAGTTGGTGTAAAGAGGAAATCTGCAGCAACCGACAATGGCGATGCAGTAGAAAAGACCACACCTGAGAAGAAGGCGAAAGTAGCAGATGAAGCTCCACCCGCCGAAGAAGAGGCAGCTGCCTAAAGCCCTTACTACCACCGTGCTTGGTTTACTGCAATGCATTCACGTTCATTAGGGCTCAACTCTGCCAATACATATCCTCTATACAGACGCCAAAACTATAGTTTTTATACATTGTTACGTATTTCTCTTATACCGAGTTGGGCCCTTTTGTGACCACTAATTTTAGGTTGTATGTAACTTACCCGTCGAGTACCTGTAAAGTGTAAATTATACAGACAAAATGCGTCGCAGTGAATCGATCGAGTTCGGATACGTTCAAGTAAGCGTCGGTCTGTGCAGACTAATGGGTTTTTGAATTGATACAATAACATTTATTCCGCCAGTAGGTACTGCCAAAGTGATTCACGTGATGTGAAGTCAATTCACGATCCGTTCTGTGAACGATGCTATAACATCTTCCGTTACAAGGATTTAGATAAACTTAAGATTAATTAAAGTTTAGATAAATAATTCAGTTGTAAATTTAAGTTAGCAGTTAAATGTCGCACATTTATATTACATAGGCATTATTACTTAACCATTTAAACATTCCTTTGACTTGGGTTGGATGCTTTGTGAACTAAGAAGTGGATGGCCGAGTGGTTTTCCCTTCTGGTTTATATCGCGTCTTTTATTATAAGATTTGAAAAATATAAAGTTCAAAGTTGACAAATAAGGTGATAGTTCATTATTATATTGACATATTTTCGTGTGCTATTTTTGAATTCTATGGGTCTTTATTTTTCTTATGTTTTTTTTCTAATTTATTCGCTTCTCATTAAATGTGATAGATACAAACCTCGAATGTAAGATAAAAGAAATCCTCATTTTATTCAACAAACTTTCAATGTTCCAAGCTAAGGAATATAATATTATTATATTAAGGTTTTGACTAACTTTTTTCATATTTGACGATTAAAATTGTTCAGAATTTTAATTCGATTCGGAAGTATGTACATCTAGTATTTAGACGGTAGTATGTACAGTGTAACACTACTTGTTGTGAAGTCAGTGTTTGTAAAAGGTTTCTGGCAATAAAATAGTCCAATCAATGCTGTCTTTCTTTTACTTCTTTTACATTTTGAATACTAATTATAGGAATTACTATACAGTTTTTACAGAACTGAAATAAATTCTATTCATTTTTTTAAAGTTATACTTCTTTTGGCGCGTTATTAAAAAAAAATATGATTTTTTTTACGATGCAACAGATTTAGACTACAGTATGAAGTTAGTTGTTATTAGACTTCAGTATGAAGGTGGCTAGTTCGTTCATGGAAGTTGTTAAATCTTCCTATAGTATAGTGTGAAGTCTATATTCAAGATATTTATGTTAAATTTTTAATTTGATTTTGGTTGGTAAATGTATGCACGATATAAAACCTACGACTAAATAATGAAAAGCTACCTATCGTATTTAAAAAATAAAAGATGATTGTTTTACTGTACACACTCGACCTGTTATTTTAGTGATGAGTGATCAATTATGGGTGAATCAAGGCCGGCCATCACCGTGGATACTACTCTGTACACATTTATTGTCTTTAAAGCAGGCAGCATCGGTGGACATGTCGACAAAATGATATATGGATAAGAAATTCGAAATGAAGTCCGTATTTGCGATTTGGATTTTATATTTTATTCCTTTTGTGATATCGCAGACAACGCAAAATATTAATGTTTGTAAGTAAAGTTAGGCTTTTTATTAACGTACCTGTGCTTTGAAAAACGAAATTTAATATAAAAAGAAGTAAAATTTTAAAATTATATATAAATAAAATATTTTTTATTACATATTTTATTGTGTGAATTGTAGACATACGAGTGGGCACTTACCAAGATACAAGATTATTATTCTGATATCAGAGTAAATTCCACAAGCAACACTTAATTTGATAAATTTTGTCAATATTAAAACTAAATCAAAAATATTCTTGCAAATAAAATTAACTGTTATTATTTATAGTGCTTGTTAACGAAGAAAATAATGCACTGGCTGAAAAATCATTTGAAGTAGCAAAAGAGTATGTAAGGCGAAATCCTAGCTTAGGTCTCGCAGTTGACCCGGTGATTGTTGTCGGCAACCGTACGGACGCTAAAGCGTTCCTAGAAAATGGTAAGTAATTTAAATTATATTTTGTGTATTGAAATGTTAAATATCGTCTTTATAAATTGATATATTCGAAAACATTCAGTCAGAAAACATTTTGCAAGGTCATAACATTTTGGTATTTGCGATCACCTTGGATGTCCGTGTACCTAAAAAACTAGTGAACTATGATCAAGTTATAATATAATATTAAAGGTTACGAAAGTAATTAATAGAACTAAAATTTAGTATATAGATACTAAAATTTTAAGTCAGTAGATGAAATTGAACCCAGCTTTAGAAGTGAATCTTATTTAATGCAGGAAGTTTAAACTAATTTACGAGGTAATTAATTAAATTATAACAGTCGAATTTTAAATTATACTATTTATACTCTGATATATTATGTAGCTCTAAGGAAAGTAAAAAGTTGCTAACAGTTGATTGTAAAAACCAGTGATTTGAGAAAAATCTAGAAACTTTTTTGGTTACTTCTCAAAATATCTAACTAAAAAATCTTATCAATAAACTTAGCGCTTTCTTATATTATACTATTGCTAGTAGATGACATAAAGTTTTCATCATCAGTTTGCAGAAAGTACAACGACATGATAACAGCTAAGAAAATACCGCACGTTGTATTAGATTTTACGATGACAGGAGTTGGTTCGGAAACGATAAAGTCGTTTACTGCTGCTTTGGCTTTACCAACTATTTCTGGATCTTTCGGCCAAGCTGGCGACCTGCGGCAATGGCGTAGTCTGAACTCCAACCAATCTAAATTCCTCCTACAAGTAATGCCCCCAGCTGATATCCTTCCTGAATCGATTAGAGCAATTGTCACGAAACAGGATATAACCAATGCCGCCATTATATTCGACGAATTCTTTGGTTAGCATTATTTTAAGCAGCATAAATTAACATGTACATATTTATGTTCACACGCATTGTATTAAATATTTACTTTCAGTTATGGATCATAAATATAAATCGCTGCTACAAAATATTCCTACACGTCACGTTATAACTCCCGTCAAGAGTTTCAGTAAAGACGAAATAAAAACACAATTGCGAAGTCTGCGTGAACTGGACATAGTTAACTTCTTCATCGTGGGAAATTTGAGAACGATAAAGAATGTTCTAGATGCGGCGAATGAAAATCAGTATTTCGGTAGAAAAACCGCGTGGTTTGCTCTCTCGCTAGACAAAGGGGATATTAGTTGCGGGTGTAAAGACGCCACCATTGTGTACATGAGGCCAACGCCAGACGCTAAAAGCCGGGATCGTTTAGGCAAAATAAAAACTACATACAGTATGAATGGGGAGCCCGAAATCACGTCTGCGTTTTATTTCGATCTGTCCTTGCGAACATTTTTGGCTATCAAGTAATAATATTTAGTATCGTAGATTCCGATTTTGTATTCGTATTTAGATCGTCTAATTATAACTTGGAATATTCCATGAGTTTGCGTTTTATGAATTCACAGATCACTTCTGGATTCTGGCAAGTGGCCAAACGACATGCAATATATCAATTGTGATGATTATGATGGTAAGAATACTCCTGACAGGGCCTTGGACCTCAAATCTGCATTTCAAGAGGTGCCTATTTAAATGTATCTATTAATAATGTTTAGTTCACGTACATTTTTTACGGTTTTCGAAGCTTTTATTGATGATTCTACTTTCATGCTTCCGTAAAATATATTTTTATAAACACATTTTTTAAATACATAAGATATATTAATTTTATCTTTTAAAACCTAAATTTAATATGCTTTGGTCTCATATATTTGTTGTCAGTATGTATACATATTTTGTTTTGTTTTTTAGTACTACCTACATAGTTACGTTATAGTTTTAAACCATGTCTATGATATATATAATTAATAATATATATGTAGTATATATGCAACTCACAAGTGAATATATAATATATACATATTAGTAGGTACATTAAAGTATTTAATAAACTATTTTACTTTAAAAAAATATATTGATTAGTCGTCATATGATTGTTCAGGTGGCCCTCAAGTCCACTAAAGTAGGCACTGATATTATTCTTAGAATCTTAATTGCCTCATAAACAATATCTTAATTGAATTATTTGTAACTGTTAAATATAAATCTAGACTAGAATTTATAGTTTAACTAGCAGAACCCGCGGCTTCGCTCGCGCTAAAATTACAAAAAAAAAACTAAATGGGTAGTTTGATACAAATTTTTACCCCATATCTTTTTCTATCGCCCATATAGGATGAATTTCGAAAAATGCTAAAACACGTATTTATTTAATTTTATTGAAGAGCATTTATATTTTTTCAATTGTATTATAACGTATTTTCCCGTGGGAATGAGATGATCTCCCACAATAAAAAGTAACCTATGTCACTCTCCAGCTCTCCAACTATCTTCACGCCAATCCGACACTCCGTTTCGACGTGAACGAAGGACAAACAAACACACTTTCACATTTATAATATTAAGTATAGATTCATTTATTATTTCAATATTTGATTTTTAACAACATAATCGATCCAACCAAAGATTTTCTGTTATAAATCCCAACATTCTCATAATCATAAAATATTCTGAGAAATGATGATTCAATAACGCCGTAGGTAAAAGAGACGCCAGCTTACGCTCCTTTTTTTATACCTGAAGATGACCCGATGAATGGGCGAAGTTATATGGAATTTAGTACAGATTTAACCGCTGTTACGATAAAAGATGGTGCATCTATTGGCAGTAAGTCCTTGGGATCTTGGAAAGCTGGTCTCTCTAACCCCCTGTTGCTAACTGATCCCGACAACATGAGCGACTACTCAGCACAATTAGTATATAGAATCGTCACAGTCGAGGTAAATGAACTTTTTGTTTGAATTTTTGATAAAACTCCGACGGTTACTTACTTACAGTTGAATAAACACTTGGTTTATTAGCTTTTGTATTCGTTTTATGATATCAGTCCATGTTGGTATTATAATTGAGATATTTTGCTATGTTGTCCATTATTTTGTTATAATTAAATTTTATTAAAATAAAATACTATACTAGATAAAATCGATCGACCAATAAGATAAGGCCAAACAATATTTATTTAATTAAAAAATAGTTCAAATTAGTATCTACTAATATATTTTTTTAATAAAATGAAATTATGTTGCAGCAACAACCTTTCGTAATACGCGATGACGAATCACCCAAAGGCTTTAAAGGCTACTGCATAGATCTTATAGAAGAAATCCGTCAAATCGTAAAGTTTGATTACGAGATAACTTTATCTCCAGACGGTAATTTTGGTACCATGGACGAGAACGGTAACTGGAATGGGATAATAAAGGAATTGATCGAGAAAAGGGCTGATATCGGTCTCACTTCATTATCCGTAATGGCTGAAAGGGAAAACGTTGTGGATTTTACTGTACCATATTACGATTTAGTCGGTATAACGATACTAATGAAATTACCAAGAACCCCGACATCGTTGTTCAAATTTCTAACGGTTTTAGAGAATGATGTCTGGCTTTCGATATTGGCGGCGTATTTTTTTACGAGGTAAGTGAAATAGTATCTACATGAAAAATTAATTATCTGTGGAAAGACAATAGGAATAATAAATCTTAATTTTTTTTATGTCGTTAGAGGTGAGGTTTTAAAGTCATTATTTACATAGACTAAAACTAAATCTTTATATATTTTTATATACGAAGACCTACGCTAATCTGACATAGAAACAGGTTTATTTAATAGCAATTTATATTTTATGAACAGTTTTTATTTAGACATCAGGATTGTACAATTATAGTACAATAATCAGCATTTTTATTGTACGAATGTCAATGCATTGTAGGCTTAATTAAATACTTTTTTTCATATTACAAAAAATAAAAGAATATTTGTTTCAGATAACGTTTAGAATAATGTAAACTAAACAAACAGATTTTATTAACAATTTAACTTATCATTTTTTTATAATAACCTTTTCAGTAATGAAATGGTGTTAATTTTATGAAATTCTAAACAAACCTTATTTCAAAAGGTTCCAAATACTTGTACTCTACGAATAAATATTGTTTATTCGTAGCTTGTACCCTATGAAAGCTATGATATTCAACATAATTCAAAATGTCTATTGAATTTTTTTGTCACTTTTACGTTTTATGCAGTCCTATTTACATTATACATATGTATAAAGCTTCCCTTCCACGGTAGATGATTTGATGACGTCGGCGCACACTTATATGAATAAAAAATTAAAAGATGGATGGATGGAGCTTATCTAAATCGCAGATGTGCACAAGCTTTTGATTTACATCAGCATGTGTTAGCAGTATATAGTATAGTCGTTTGTAATGTGTGCGTGAAACCAAAAACGTTTAAAAGTCAGCTTTAGGTAGGTTTAGGACAGATAGAGTCGATAAGTAATTGTCTTAATTAACGTGCAAAAGTGGAAACAAAGTACTTGTTCAATCATCAATACATATATTTGCCTCGTCTTAGAATCAAATCCACTACCATTAAGGCGTAGTGGTACATCATATAAATCGTCACGCAAAATTTCCCCATTTTGGGTTGCCATTTTCATCTCGCTCAGTCACTTATTCTGGGATTCCTCTAATATTTATAATATTAGATAAGATCTCTTTGCTTTTAACGATTTGTTGCGATTAATACAAATCGAACTAATATAGTACCTATTTATGTCTTATTTAGTAACCGTAAATACATTGCCATGTAAGTTACTGCGATTAAGTAAAATTTAATATATTTTTTTGAAGTGAAACTTCTTTAGAATCGTTGTGATTTGAAACGGAAATGTAACACTAAAAAGAGACAAACATATAAATATATAGATTAGACTAGAGATTAAGCCGGTGAAAGAATGAGATAGAATACATTGCCATGTTGCCACGGTAACCGTTGTTATTGTCTGACAAATATATAATATTATATTCTTTCCATATATGATATTCTATAAATATATGATTGTAATATGCCTTGTTTAATTATTTGAGATATAATAAGTGGGTACATTACACAGTGAAGTAAAACGTAATAAAATTAATTACAGAACAATATGTAACGTATATTTATGGCAAATAAAATCCGTATAATATATTAATATTATAAATGTGAAAGTTTGTGAGTATGTATGGATGTTTGTTATTCTTTTACGCCAGAACAGCTGAACGGATCTGAATGAAATTTGGCACAGAGATAGATTATAGTCTGGAATAATACATAGGCTACCTACCGTAAAATATACGGTTCCCGTGGGATAGGTTTCTTTTTTCGTTTTCCTATAGGCGAAGGCGCGTGAGCTGCTAGTATAAAACACCTCTTAAACTTAGTAAACGTTTTATAAAAAAAAAACCTTATATGTAATTATCCTACTCCTGAAACTCTATATTCATGTCATTCTTACGTAAGTAACTTTTCTGAAGTTTCACTTCTACCGTGTGTGATTTGCAAACACACACACTTTGTTTATTTATCGCATCGTAAAAATACGTGACATTGAAAAAAATAAAGTAAAATGTTGATGAACCTCGCACGCACTATTTGCAAGCGTATATGAATCGCGCCTCGACTACGCAACGTGCATGACTTGTGTGCAATCATACACGTGGCAACTTGCGTGTTAACATTTGCTTTCATTTATTTATTTTAATATTATTAAAAGCAAACGTCTGTCAAAGCTATGATATTAAAATATTAATATTGCTACATAAACATACAGTTCGTGAAAAAGGAAAAAAATATATAGGCCGTAACTATAAATAAATATTAGCCCTAAGCGGGAATCGAACTTGTTACCTCAATTTCAAGTATTAATTGTCTAACATTGAAAATGTTTTTAGAAATTACTAAAGTTATCTATATCTTAATTCTAACTAGAAATATCATTCTGAAATAACTTGTTTTAATCAGGTTTATTGTAGAGCTAGTAACATTGACATTAGCGTTTTCTAAGAAAAAATAATTATAGGCTCTAGATATACCAATAATAACAAATTTATTTTATTGTTATATATATTCATAACTACTATTTATGGAATGAAGATGGCTTTTTGTGTCATTGTATTCAGCCCTTTTTAACGTCCCACTGCTGGGCGCGAGCCTCCTTTTAATGCGAAGGGATCAGACCATAGTCCACCACGCTGACTAAGTGCAGGTTGGCGGACTTCACATGTCTTTTGAAAACTCGCTAGGTTCTCTCAGACATGCAGGTTTTTATGATGTTTTCCTTCACCATTAAGACAAGTTATTATTTCGGAAATAATTCACACATGAAAATATCATAGATGCGAGATCCGGGATTTGAACCCACTTCACTCGGTTTCCTAAGCGAGCGTGCTACCACTGGGCTACTATTGTCCATGTTGCCATTTTGTGTCATTAACTTTTATTTTGTTTTAATGTGAAAAATAATCAATAATGAATGTCTCCATTCATATACTTTAACTTTTTAGATTTTTCTTTATATTTCGTAATAAAAAGGATTTATCACTACACTTTACAGTTGTTAAACTAACTTCAAATCCTAGGTCGGTCTTCAAAGAGAATTATTATGATTTCCAGTCGATAAAATCCTTAACAGCAGTAGAAAGAAGAAACAGGGACATAGGTCCCGTTGAGGCCAGGTTATATCTAGATAGTTTATAGGTATCTAGTTCTTTGAGATAATAGGCCACCAAGGCCGAAACTCGGCTAGGCTTTGATAATCTGTTGTATAAGTACTCTATAATCGATGGACTTGAAAATATAGAGAAGATAACTGTGGTAGATTACAGTAAATATGGAGTTGATAAAACAAATCATTAACAAGACATAAATAAAAACCGTTTTGAACTAGCAACAAGAATAAATTCATTTTTAACCGACTTCCAAAAAGGAGGAGGTTCTCAATTTGTCGTAATCTTTTTTATCGTGATAAATACAACTTACGATTCTTGCTAACTACTATGGGGCAAATATAAGTACTTTATATATAACCTTCCTTTGGTCTTCGCAGTCGGAAAAAATGTATACGCGACCAAACGTCTTGAAAATCTATAGTCCACTTAGAGTTTTACACTATTTTTCAATTCTATACGATTTTACTTCCTATTAAAGTTGGAAGTGATAAGGTTCTTTTTGTTGTTATAATGCAATGTAAATTAGTACCTACAAAAATCCGTTCATATATTTGTACTAGTAATGTAGAGACATGTATATTTTTTTCTTATTTCGGTATCTTATTGTTTATGATTGACCAAACGACAAACATCGACGTATCTTATTTATAGTTTGTTTACCAAAATAAGGAAAAATCTGTAGATTTTGTCTGTTATTTTCTTGTTATTGTGTGTATTTTTTTAATACCTATTTTTATGTATGTATATATATATATATATATATATATGTATGTATGTACGTTATGCAATTTTTTTTATTGATTGGTTTTGATTTGATTTTTTAACAATAGGTTTTGCTCAAGGGTGGTTCCTTTTTAATTCCAAACCTAATGGCATAGGGCGTACCTTATTGGTTGAAAAGAAGGTCATTCTCGACTTCAAAATAAATTACAACTTAAAGGCATTCCTGTACGTAATAAATATAAATAATATATCATTAATATTGTTCTATTGCATTGAAATTATTTTACACAAGCGCGGTACATCTATCTGTTCGACATGACAATTTTCTATATAGTAATTGGAATAACACTATCATGACGTTTTATAAATCGATCGGTGCCTTGAATACATTATTTCTTATCAGATTTAGGAACGAGGTCAACCGAGTAACTAATCATAGTAATGGCCATATCCCTAATAATATATAAACTATTTTGTATTGCTGTTTCTCTTATGTGTATGTCATTAAAGGTAACATACATACATGTATAGACAAACCGCAGTGTAGCTCTCCAAATCTCTAAGAGTAGGATAGTTAAAAGTCGACATATCTACTTTTTTAGCTTAATGTTTTTTTTTCTTTTTGAATTTATATTATTAAAAATTATAATATTATAATGGAGTGTAAAATGGTTATAAATATGTTCATTTATTGTATTTCAATTAATACAGAAGAATTCTGACCGTATATTCGTTGTGTCTCTTTCGCACCTTTCTGTCATTTTAGTTGACGGCTGGTCTGTGGATGTCTATGGTTTCAAATATGAATTTAAAACAAATAATGTGCATTCATCGCGTTATTATTCTTAGGATTCATGTAACAAAAAGTCTAACGTAGGTTTAACACTTAGCAAGACTGCAAGACCTAGTTATATAGTAATAATAAAACGTGTTCTTTATACACGAGTACTTAAGTATATAAAATATTTACGTTCTAGTATTATTCTAGTAGTATACGGGTAGATATGTAAATTGCCAGTCCAAATACTGATCGTTTGTCAAGGGGAGTCACTATCAAGCGCTAATGGATTGCCAAGGAAACGGAGTCATTGAATTGTTAATATAATTAAAGATACCTATAAGGTTAATTCTTTTTGTACGCCATAAATATAATAGATATTTTTGAGATTTTTTAGTTTTAGTAGTTAAACAATTAACAGCTTTCTATTACAATACAGATATAAGATTAGTATATCACCATGGTGTAAAACAATTAGTTTTATTTTTTTTATTTGTTTCATAACGTTTCTTGTTTTATAGCATAGACTATAGAGTACCTATCTATGAAGTTTCTCGCCGGCTCTTCTCAATAGAACTTCCTTTCGAGCCAGCGGCGACTTCCTCAGAAACTTTTGACATTTTATTTAAAACAAACTGGATAAAATTAAACAAACCAAAAGTGTTTTTAAAAGTCTATTTGAATAAAGTATACTTTACGTTGATTTGATACTTTGAAAGTTATGTTAGATTTCCCGAAGAGTTTTAAGTCACATACAGGTTGAGGTTTTTATATTCTCAATTGTCTATCTGACGTCACTAAATAAAGACTTGATAGTAAAATTCTTTAAAAAAAAAAGTTGAAAAAAATAGAATAGATAGGTAGGTAGTTTTTAAATCATTCTAAATATTCGTTAAATTACTTTTATTGACATAAATCTAAATAATGATATTATAAAAAAGAGCAATTTTTAAATATAAAATAATTACATTTAACGCAGTACGAAGGTTATAAAGAAGGTTAGGTGGTTTATCAAACTATTTCACGGTTGGTTGACTCGCAATTGACATTTTTTTGTCTGTTTGTACGCGCAATACATCTTCATATGTTTATTATCATGTCATATTAATTTTCGTGCCTGGCGACCGAGCTTCCCTCGGCATTGTTTTTTTTTGTAAGAACGGCGGCGGCGCTGTTTTGTTTTTTATCAGAAAATACACTTAAATAGATAAACTTTAAAAGCAAAACCTTATCTTAATAGAAAATTTGATACATATCGTTAGAGCCATTTCCGAGATATATGAAATACATTTATATATGCCTATTGGCGACTCACCCTAGCTTCGCTCGGGTTCGCCCATAGCTTGATTCTCTATAAAAAATTTCATCCCCATTTTCACCCCTTAAGGGATGATTTCCGAGAAAAAAGTATCCTATGTCCTTCCCAGGGACGCAAACTATCTCTTTACTTTTCATCTAAATCGGTTCAGTAGATCCAGAGATTACCCCCTACACTGTCACAAACTCACAATCTCACAAACTCACAAACTTTACCTCTTTATAATATTACTACAGATTACAGACTAGCAGCTCACCCTAACTTCGCTCGGGTTCGCCTCTAGGAAAACAAAAACAAAATTTAAGTAAAATTTTCCGGGATAAAAAGTAGCCTATGTGTTATTGCAGATTCTATCTCTGTGCCAAATTTTATTCAGATCCGTTCACCTGTTCTCGCATGAAAGAGTAACAAACATCCATACTCACAAACTTTCACATATAATATTAATACAGAAAAATTAATACGGATGTATAAAAGCATTGTTTGTTTATTATGATAAGATAAAAAATGTCGGAGATCATTTAGCTAATAAATCACTGTAAAATATCTTTATTTACCTTTAGAAACTGTGCAAGTTATTCTAGCACTCATATTTAAAATAATATTTTTTTTTTTATAAATGTTAACCTTTTATAATATACAAAGAAACTAGCCATACAATAAAGCAATATAATTCATTATTGAAATATAAACAATATCCATGAATTATAATTTTTTTTTTCATTTTTTTTAATTTCCAAAATTGAAATGTCTTAGGTTGTTAAGTCACTTTTGTGTTGTTATTTTAAAAGTAATTAGGTTAGGACTTAGGACTCTATTTACCTTATTTTAAAATATTTCATAAAAAGTCAATAATATTATTTATTTAATAAGAAAATAAATTTATTATATTTTATACTTATCTGCTTTCGACATTTATTTCCCTAGTAACATTGAGTGTCGTTTACTTTAGCCATGACATAGTATTGGAGTGGTGACGACTGAGGACTGACGACTAAAAACCTTAAAAGGAATTACGAGTTAACATATAATATAAGTACATACATGTATTAAATTAATACAAAATTTTACTTCATTAACAAAGAAAATTCTAATAGTGATATTATTTTGATGACAATCACAAAGCGCTATCTAATATAGATTTATTAAATTTACTAGCATTGCCCGCGGCTCCGCCCGCGTTCAGATGACCAAAAACCAAATTCTTTGGTTTTACATATTAGTATACTCTTACAATGCAGTTTTTGTGTTTTTTCTCAGAAATAAGATATTTTCCCGCGGTAAAAAGTATCCTATATGTTGACCCGGATAACTAGCTATCATCATACCAAATTTCATCATAATCTGTCCAGTGGTTTTCTCGTGATGCGGTAACACACATACAGACAGACAGACAGACAAAAATTCTAAAAACTATAGATTCGAACAGCTCTGTATCGATAATAATGTCTATTTCAATTAGATTTTCCAAATAATATTTAGGTAATGTACAGATTCGACTTAGTTACAATTTTATTATATGTATAGATTAGGTTTAAATTGAGGAATAAAGAATGGCTTATAATTAGACAAACGTAATCTTGATCGTCGATTTTAATCGATCTTGACCGAAATCCTGACCAATTTTTTATTCTTTTTCACTCTCAAAGTCCGATGAGACGATACTTCGACAGAATCGGTGATAGCCAAGGCACAGAACCGACAGTTTTATGTGCTCTCCGAGGCAAGGAGGTGCAACATTGCCAACTTCCTAACTCCAGGCTGCTAATGAGAATTTCTTAACAGAGAAACTCAACAACTAAACTTGGCCCGACCCAAGACTCGAACCCAGGACCTCCGGATCTGTGGCCGAACCGAGGCAGTAAAATTTTATTATATCAGTTAATTAGTCATCATAGTTGTATAAGTTTTTAATTTAGTAAGAAGTTTCATCTAATATTAAATTCTCGTGTCACAGTTTTCGTTGCCATACTCCTCCGAAACGGCTTGACCGATTTTGATGAAATTTTTTGTGCTTATCCGGTATCTATGAGAATCGGCCAACATCTATTTTTCATACCCCTAAGTGATAAGGATAAGGGTGGTCCTCCCAGACCCCACCTAAGGGACCAACCCGAGCGGAGCGAGGGTGAGTCGCTAGTAACTTATATGATTTTCTAGCTTTCTCATGTGGGTGTTTGACAAATGGAGTCCATACAGTTATCAAAATAACCGAGAAAAGTATAAAGACGACGAGGAAAAACGAGAGTTTACGTTGAAGGAGTGTCTATGGTTTTGCATGACGTCACTCACGCCGCAAGGTGGAGGAGAGGCCCCGAAAAATCTCTCTGGTCGCCTTTTAGCTGCTACTTGGTGGCTTTTTGGGTAACATACCATCTTATTAATAAGTTTATTTAACATTGCATCTTAAGTTTTTAATCTAACAGATTGACATAATTAGGGTACTTATATTATAACTTTAGCGCTATAAAAATATAAAACCTCATTACAAATAATTATTAAGGAAAAAATAATGGAAATGTTTTAATTTTACTTAGCTTTTGTATGTATGATTGTTCGGATCAAATCTTGCAACTGAATTGTAAAGCAGTTACCCTCAACCGATTGAGTTGAAATTTTGTAAACACGTTTAGTTTAAGTGAATGCATGGTTAGCTAAGTGACGTCATTCTAAATCCAATATGGCGGTCTCCCAACAACGGCGCACTGTCTTTTTATGCACTCCCATGATATATCAAATGAAAGGGTTTGCTAAGAAGAATACGAATGAATATCTAAAACATAAAAAAGTATACTTTAAATTAAATCAAATCTATTTATTACCTTTACTTACACAAATTATATGATATAAAAACTTGTTTAAAAAAATGTTTTTTTAATATTAATTTGAATTACAACTTTAGCTTAGTAATAATTATTTATGTAACAATTTTCTTCAGATTTATCATAATAGCATCGTACACGGCTAACTTAGCGGCGTTTCTCACGGTATCCCGTTTGGACACTCCCATAGAGTCATTGGATGACTTGTCGAAACAGTACAAGATACAATATGCACCGTTGAACGGTTCATCTGCGATGACATACTTTGAGAGGATGGCTAATATCGAAGTTAGGTTTTACGAGTAAGTATCTTAGTCTGATTAAAAATCTATACTAATATTATAAAGCTGATAAGTTTGTTTGTTTGGTTGAACGCGCTAATCTAAGGAACTACTTATTCCGATTTGAAAAGTTCTTTTTGCATTGGATAGCCCGTTAACTGTGGAAGGCTATAGGCTATATATCATCCCGGTAAAATGTACGGTTCCCGTGGGATAGATTTGTTTTTGTCTAGGGACGAACCCGAAGCGACGATCAGTCGCTAGTAAATAATAAAAAGTATATATTTAGTGTATTAATTTTAGATTTTCGTTTACGTATTTTATACACTATGGGATGACCAGTTTCGATTTTTACACGTTCTTTAGTAAATTTTATAATGAGTAAAAAAATGATGTCACTCTCAGTTTCAAGGCCTAAAATATGACTGTTTTCAAATAATAAACATCTTTGTTGCGGTACTTTGTGAAATAAGGGAAAACCGACAAATTCACTTTTTCATGAATAAATAGGTTCATATCAAAATAATTTGTAAAATGCGCTTTGATTTGTATCAGCTGGCACTGAATTCGAAAATATCTGATTAGGTATCTATAGTAAATGAAAACTACCAATCAGTATTTTTCGATTTTTAGTTGATTTTTAAATAGGTACCTACCTATTTATTTTTTAACTTTTTTTTTCATTTTTAGTGTACCTACACATAGTAGTAGCACGAAAAGAAGAAAGTATAAATACAAAGAATATATATGAAAAAGAAGGTGTAAATATAAAATTCAGTAGGTGAAAAATCAATCATCCCCAATTTTCTACACTTAGGGGGTAGATCTTCTTTTTCAAATTTAAATGGGGCCAACTTTATACCGTATCATTTAAATAAAGAATCGACGAAATCGGGTTACACTATAAAAAGTTACGCGTGGTCAAACATAAAAAAAATACGTGTCGAAGTATAGTTATGCGTTGTCAATTAAAAAAAAAATACATGTCGAAGTGAGAACCTCCTTTTGGTCGTCGGTTAAAAAGTGTGAACAAGATCTTAATTTGGAGGAAATCTTAAAAAGTCAGACGTCAACAATAACTGTCGTGACAGTATAAAATTCAAATAATAATTTTTGCTTACAGTTGCTTGTTAAAGTGAGCCGTTTAAAAATTAAACAAATTGGTGTAATATATAGTTAGGTTAATATAAGTATAAATGTTTGGATGGATATTTGTTAGTTGTTACTCAATCACGTCAGAAGGGCTGAACGGACCTGAATGAAAGCCACAGAGATAGATTATAGTCTGGAATAGCACTTAGGCTACTTTTTATCCCGGAAAAATCTACGGTTCCCGTGGGATAGATTTTTTACAAAATAAAAAAATATACCTATGTATATTCTAAATATTGAGAAATTATAAATAATTAATTTTAAAAGAGGTCGTCAACCGACATTTTATAATTTGTGTATTATTTTTAAATCGGTTCGTGTATTTATCAATGGAATTTGTTTTATTTAAGATATCTTGTATCAAACAACGTTATCTCTTATCGGTCAAGTAAGAATTCGTTCCGCCTTCATTAAAATGTATGAATATGCATTGTGCTAGTTTTTGTGGCCATATTTATATTGTTAGTATCCTTTATAGGTATAATAATGATATTAATAACGAACAACTTTCGTACGGTCATCACAAAATTTACTTGTGTTTTAATGTGTATTATCGATCCCACTACCATCACAATATAATTAAGTGTCCTCCGAATATACCTACTTTGGCTGCAACTATTTAAAGTCAACAAATTTTATAATTGAATTAAAAAAAAACTTTATGTGGTATTATTAAGTTTTTTTTAATTTATAAAAATTATGTCATTCTTATAGTTGGGATAATCAGTTCATAATTATTAATTCATATACACTGCATCTTATAGCTTAAATTAACTAAATTAATTACTTAGACTATATTAATTATATATACTTCACTAGCATCGCCCGCGGCTCCGCCCGCGTTCAGATGACCAAAAACCAAATTCTTAAGTTTTACATATTAGGTTTTAAATATTAAGAGTATACTCTTACATTGCAGTTTTTGTATTTTTTCTCAGAAATGAGACATTTTCCCGCGGTAAAAAGTTTAGTGTAAGTTAGTAGTGTAAATTCTATATGTTGACCCGGATAACCAGCTATCACCATACCAAATTTCATCAAAATCTCTCCAGTGGTTTTTCTGTGATGCGGTAACAGACAGACAGATAGACAAAAATTCTAAAAAAACACAGATTCGGCCTCTGTATCGATAATAATGTGTATTTCAATAAGATTTTCCAAAAAATATTTAATGTACAGATTTGGCTTAGTTACAATTTTATTATATATGTACCTATAGATTATATGAATAATACAGTAGCACCCATTCAACGGAGAACTAAATGTGTACATGTATGTCAATATGACCAAAGTACAAATTATTCGCTTGTCATCATGCAATAAGTATATGGACTGGTCATTTAGAAAATGTGGGTTGATTTAAGTATTTCCTACTATGTTAGAAAATTTTGATCTACATAATTATTATATTAATAATTAACACCTCCAGGTAAATTTCTGAGAAATTAGTTAAAATTCTAAGAAATATTTTGTTAACTGACACGCCGGCGTGTCCGCGGTCGTGGAGGGATTATACAAATGTACACTGAACTTTTGTAAAAGTTACATCCGTATAAGTGAAAACAGAAAAAAATTGGTACCACTTGCTCTATGTTCTCGAGTTTTTGTATTTATGTGTTTTAAGTATTTAATAAATTGTCCTTAGAATATGGAAAGAAATGAGCCTCAACGACAGTTTAAGCGATGTAGAACGCGCCAAACTGGCAGTTTGGGATTACCCGGTCAGTGACAAATATAGTAAGATGTGGCAAGCCATGAAAGAGGCTGGTCTTCCAAACTCCATAGATGAGGCCATAGAAAGGGTTAGAGCATCTAAAAGTTCCAGTGAAGGCTTCGCATGGCTGGGCGATGCTACTGATGTGAGATACCATGTTCTTACGAGTTGCGATCTGCAGATGGTTGGTGACGAATTTTCTAGAAAACCATACGCCATTGCAGTACAACAGGGGTCTCCGTTAAAAGACCAGTTTAATAATGCGTGAGTATTTTTTAAATACACACTAAATTGTTAAAACTGTTTAATTTTTTTAGTAATATCTGAATCGATATTATCAGCCAAAAAAAAAATAGGTATGACGTGTCAGTTATATCTGTGGTTTTTACGTTTGTTTTTAGCACCAAAAAGGTTTATCACAAATTTTGGAAGTAGAAAATATTTCAAAAATTTGTGATTGAAAATATATGCATTTAAAACGAACTATATGTAAGTGTCACTATCAATTAGCACTGCAAATTTTCTAATTCAATTTTGGAATCTTTAAATTATGAAAATAATTATATTATATATAACCATCTATCCATAAAATTCTCGTAAGGGTTTAATCTTTAAAATCTAGCAATTCGTTGCGTGTTCGGATTACTTGAAGAGTACAGATAAAGCTATTGAAATTTTACTTTAATTCAGTTCTTATCAGCGTTTTAATGCTATATTTAGCTTGTTATCAGTATCTGCTTTTGATATTGAGAATAATTTTCTTATTATTAATTTCATCATAATATTCAAAAATAAACAGCTTTTTTATGAACATTGTATACGTCACTATAACTTTCACGCTCCGTTCCAATCGAGACCTTTGCTAGGATTTTACGAATTTTATGCCCAGTTAATGATACAATTACGTAAGAATGGAATTTTATTGACTTAATATCCCATTGGGTACCTTCCTTGCCCTAACATAAAGGCCAATAAAATAAAATCATCATAAATATCCATGGTTATTTCAATACTGAAAGAAATTTTCCATATAATCCTGGGGAACCATATCTTTAGTAAACGAAATTGATGACCAGAAGCACCCAATACGGGTATCGTAGCTACTATTTGTTAATCTCATCAATACATATAAGCTGAATAGGAGTCGGTCAATTTTGACAAGAACAAAATTTTTGAATAGATATATGTAGGTACATACTAAGAAAGTATCAGGTACAGCCCAGCAGCACAGTATAATCTATTTACGTGTTCTTTTGATTAATAATCTGTAAATATCAAATAAACTGAAAGAATGGAGGCAGTATCATTAGTTAGTAAATGATTCCTTTTGAAGTGCATAGATACATGTATGCTCATATAATGGCAAAAAGCACGCGACATGAATTTTCAATGACAACGACAATTTTCTTGGACAACGTTTTTTTTGACGTAATATAGCATCTGTTGTTTATATAAATGTTCTTATATTAATTAGATATTTAATTGAATTTGACTTCGTCAAACGATTTAAACATTAAACCCCTTATTTTAAACCCTTACATTCTTTTATAATATTATGGTATCTGCTATAGGTAAAGTCACATCATATTCTGTAAAAAAAAGATAATATCTTTTTTACAGAATATGATGCCCACATTATGGGCTTATTGTGTCCCAAACACAATGTTTCAATATGGGAATTTACAAACTAAAATTCTCATTTGTTTCAAATTTAAATACAATTTATTACAACTAACAACTATATAATACCTTTGAGACGTCTATAGCCTCAGTCTCCAGTTCACTGATGTGAGATTGCATTGCTGTAAAGCATTCGAAACGTCGGAAACCAAAAATCAAATTAAATCCGCGAAATAATCCGAAAAGATAGTTTTAAATAAAACATCAAATATTCGCTCAAATCTACGAAAGTATTACATACATATACTTACTTTAAAATTACTTATTATCTTTAAACTTAGTCATAAAATTTAGGTTGGCACTAAAGAATTTTTTAACAAAAAATATATTTGAGCCGAATCAGTCTGGATGCAATCACAGCTCATCATGGTAAACCAAATTGAATCGAGAACAGATCTTGGGTTTTAGTGGAAAATTCAACATTTTTTAGTTCAACTATAGTAACTAATATAAATCATTTAAACTTAGTGGCTTCAGAACTAGGACAATCTCATATAGAATTCATGGCGATGACGTGACCAGTGACAGTGAGGGTCATTACTACACACTGCAATAGGTACCTACTGTACGTCGTAAAACCGTTTGATGCAATACACTAATGCAATACGAGAAGCAATGGAATGTTCTGCTTCGAACTACAGAATTAGATGACTGAACTGTTTATTTTAGGATGTGTAAAATAGAACCTGTATTTATGCTAATACTAAATAAATAGCGGTTGCATTCATCTGTCTAATACAGATGTTGTGTGCTCTAGTTTGTGGAATGTATATTTTTTTTAAATATTTTGATTGTGAAACGATATATCGATTATGACAGCAATGAGAAAATGTCTGTGTTAAAGTAGCAAGAGTTACTCCTTTTAAATAAAATTAGCTATCTGCCAGTTAAAGTAAAGTCGAAATCGCTCCAGCCGTTTCCGAGATTAGCTGGAAAAAACAGACAGACAAAAATTTTTAAAATAGTTTTTTTTTTCTATCTATCATCATACATCTAGTAAAAAGCTGTTATTTTGTCATTACAAACATACACTCAATTCTATTCATATATACTTATGTGTCTATTAGAATTGTAATAGATACTTATAACATTTGGTATGTGAGTCATTATTACAATTCTATATAATGATGCCTAACACATCAAATGTACAGTTAAAAATTAAACTAAGTATATGTACTAAAATGACTATAAGAAATTCAATAATTTATATTTAAACAAATATTTTTCCAGCATTCTACAACTGCTCAATAAACGTAAACTGGAAAAGCTAAAAGAGAACTGGTGGAGTAATAATCCTAAGGCGATAAAATGCGAGAAGCAAGACGACCAGTCTGATGGCATTTCCATACAGAATATAGGAGGGGTTTTTATAGTCATCTTTATGGGGATTGGTCTCGCGTGTGTCACTTTGGGAGTGGAATACTGGTGGTATAAGTGGAGAAAACGACCTACTATTGGCAATATTACACAGGTTTGTTTTTATATATCCTTAAGTGTATACTTTAGTTCTTACCTATCTTCCGTTTTTGTTCTCTTTTCCCTTTTTTCACTCTGGTCTTGATATCTCAAATGATGAGCAATTGCAGCCCCTGGTGGTGCACGTAAATAGGTTACGGTTAGTGTAGTATTGGGTTATAATTAGGTTATAACTAAATAAATATAAATAAATATGTCGGGACATTAACACACATCACCATGTAGTTCCATGGTAAGCTACGAGGCTTGTGTAATGGATACCAGATAGTTCATACACTTCACATATAGTATAACTGTAAATACATACATATTATAAATATAAACACCTATGACTGGAGTATAAATATTTGTGCTCATGACACAAATGAATGCCCCCAGCGGGACTCAAACCCGCGACCGCTGGCACAGCAAGTATGGTCACTACAAACTGAACCTAAGGTGTTGTCAAAAAAAAAATCGCTTTCCCTTTTATTCCACTTGTGCGTTTAATTAAACTCGAACTTGATACGAGCATATTTTGTTTATAGAAATTCGAAAGTATTAAAAGTATTTTTTTATCTATACTTAATATTATAAAGAGGTAAAGTTTGTGAGTTTATGACGTTGCAGGGGGTAATCTCTGGATCTACTGAACCGATTTAGATGAAATTCGGTAAGAAGGTAGTTTGGGACCCTGGAAAGGACATAAGATACTTTTTATCCCGAAAATCAACCCTTAAGAGGATGAAAATAGGGATGATAGTTTGTATGAGAAATCAACCTACGGACGAACCAGAGCGAAGCCAGGGTGAATCGCTAGTACATAATAATTCAGTTTTTTATTCATTTGATTTCAGGTTGAACCAATGAAGGCAACAAGGAACAATATCGACATTTCCAAACAGGAAGGCTTTACGTTTCGCTCCAGGAATTTAGGTCTTGCTAATTTAAAACCTAAATTTTAAGCTAACACACTCTGTTTATATTAATCAAGAGGTATTTCCATGTGTTCAATTTTATTTGGTTATTTTACAGTTTGAGGACTTTTCTGGAAAGCTTTCCAAGATTTTATTTTGTTACTAGTGTTTTCTCGTAATTCCGCTCGAGTCTTTTAATTTTAATAGAACTAATTCGCTCTCGTAGGTTGTGGTGTAATATGAATAGTCTAAAAATTTTCGTCAATAAAGAGGCTATAAAACGCAAAAAGAATTTTTCAAATCAGATCATATGATTAGATATTATAGAGCGTTTAAACAAACAAACAAACGAACAAACAAACAAACAAATGAACTTTCTTAAATTTACGCGAATATTTGACATTTTAAATAAAACTATCTTTTCGGATTATTTCGCGGATTTATTTTGATTTTTGGTTCCCGACGTTTCGAATGCTTTACAGCATCCATGGTCACGGGAGAGACTGAGGTGTTACATGTCTTGGAGGTATAGTTGTTACAGACAGCCTACCCACAATTAACAAAATTAAAATTGCACCAATTACCTTATAATATTTTTTAACTTTAAACATTTTTATTTTTTTTTTTAAAAACAAATGAACTGTTCAGCTTTAAATATCAGTTTAGATGAGATGCTTTCAAAGACTGTCCTCGGGGAGTTCTAAACCTCGTAACATATTATATAATGGAGTATGACTTGTTATGGAAACAGTAACTATATTGTGAAATAAAAAACGCATTTTTCAGTAAAATCTTGAAAATGTGTAAGTAATATAACCTTTTAATTTAAATTTGATCTCATTTTATTAAATTAAGTATTTATAAAACTATCTCATTAATGTTAGTTGTTTAAATAGTTGAGTTGAAGTGTTTTGCACAATCTGCTCCGATTGTAGTTTTTATTAAGAAGTGCAATAAATTTAAAAATATATAAATTCTTTTATTTCCTTTACCAGTTATTAAAGCGTGTTTAATTAAAAACAAATGTGTGTGTTATATACGCACGTAAGAAGTTATACTTCTTTTACTTCTTTGGCGTAACAGAACAAGAATAGCTAAAGATTTCTTCCCGTATGTCACAACTCTCTGTTTGTAAAAGGAATGCAGCTAACTTCATCATGTCGCTTTTTGGCTGTCGGTGTGCGCGCGTATCGTAAGAATTACACTTTCATATTTTTTCCAAACGTGCTGACAAAAGTATAACGTAAAAGAAAAAACAGATTTAGCAAACAGTCAAATTTCGTTAAAAATTAGCCTCAATTAATTATTCATTCAAGAAATGGCTGTGCTGCGTTCTTGTTGTTTATGGCATGAAACTCTTATTGATGAAACTATTTCGAAAAAGTAATTGAAGATCTATCTAGTAAATGATAGAAATGAAACACAAATATTATAATCAAATCATTATAATTAATATCTACAGTAATTGATTAATTTTGTAAAAATATTCTTTCACGTACAAAATATTACGTATATTTAATATTATGCTAGTAAATGTACAATAATTTAAAATTTAACATCATTAATAACATTGTCAGTCAGTCAGTGAGTCAGTTGTCAGTTGAGTATTGGAAGGTGTTGCTATCCTTTTTTATTACTCCGAATAAGAAAGAGATAGCGATAATATGAAATTTGAACTTACAAAATAGATATATATATGTGCTTCTATCGCTTATTTATTAGTATGAAACGTAAAACTTCCAGCCGTTTAATACAAACAAACAAACGGACAGAATTAAAAAAAAAACAAACATTATATATAACAAAAAACTGACAATCCTCGGCAAGAACACATTATTTACACAAGCGATATAAATAAATTACTCTATTAATTTGGTATTCACAGTTCTATGGTTTTTTGTTGGTTTAGATTCTTCATGTTTTTGTTGCACAGCTCCAGCTCAAGCCTTAGCCCATCGATTTCAGCCTCCAAATTGCGAGATTTCTTAAACATTTGCACGTAATTCATCTGTAACTGCTTCTGATATCTCAACACTTTATCCTTTTCCTCCGACCATTTTCGTCTCTCATTATTGAATTGGGCTTCTTTATTTTGCATATCTGCTTTAAGTCTTTCCACCATTGCCGTGGAATGACAGATTCCTGTACAATCCGGTAATTCCCCGTTTAATCTTTGAACTTCAGCATCCTCTAAAGCACTATCGTTTGAATTCCAATGATATTCATTGGTTTTACACACATCATATATCCCTCTCATTGTCCTTCCGCATTCAATTCCCTCATAACCGCTTAAAGATACATCTGATAGTTCCTGTCGCAGCTCCTTTATTTCCGTTTTCAGTTTATCCACTTCGTTTTTATTGTTTTCCTTAGTTTTTGTCGCTTCTTTAACGTTATCTGTTAGATCAGCTGTAAGTCTGTCTATTTCGGCTTGTAATCTTTTCAAAGTTTTATCTTTTTCGTCAGATTCATTTCGCAATCTCATTATTTCTTTGTCTCTCTTATCGAGCGATTCTCGCATTTGGCGACAGTCGGCCTTCAGTGTGAGGTACTCGTGGCCTTTCGCGGTTTGTTCGTTCTGGAATTTGATTTAAATAAATTTAATAATGGGATAAAATATCAAAATGTTGTAGGGAAAGATATTTTTAATTTTGGAACTTGAAATTGGAACTGATTATTTTTTATATAATTTAACTAAAAAATATTTTAAAACCAATGAATATTTTAGTAACAACGTAATTATTGTATTAAGAAAAAAACAATTTCAATAATTTATGACAAACAGTATATTAATTTGTAGACTTTTCTTTCAATAACATTAAATTGAAAATATTTAATACCTTATTGTACGCCTTATTTATAAAAATAGCAATATTTCAAATTTTCAACACATTGCTGTATGCCCGCATTCAGGCGCAAGAGTATTGGTTAATGTGACAAATGCGAAAGTGAGTTTGTAACTTATTCACGTTGTAAGCTCAACGTGTTTGAATGAAATTTGTAATGTTGAAAGTTTATATATAATATATATATATATATATATATATATATATATATATATATATATATATATATATATATTAATTAAAAAAATGCGAGCGAGGTAGCGTGAAGTGTAATTAGAACACTCATTCCCTTACTAACTTACGCATTTTTAAGTTGAGTCTTTAACAGGGTGACAGTTAAGAGTCTTTATAAGACTGCAGATTAATCTATATATATAATAAAATTGTAACTTAGCCGAATCTGTACATTAGATATTTTTTTTTAAATGTTATTGAAACAGTCATTATTATCGATACAGAGGCCGAATCTATAGTTTTTAGAATTTTGTCTGTCTGTTACCGCATCACGGATAAACCACTGGAGGGATTTTGATGAAATTTAGTATGATTATAACTGGTTATCCGGGTCAACATATAGGATAATTTTAATTGCGGAAAAATATCACATCTCTGAGAAATCTATACTAAACGTTAAAATGTAAGCAGGGACGAACCGCTGGGTGAGTCGCTAGTGTAGTATAAAGTGCTAATCAACCTGAGTATTAAGTTGCGTTTCCAATAACACGATAGTCAGTCTATATTATAAGACTGCAGATGGTTAGTTCTGTACGAAGTATCAACCGTCCTGAGTATCCTAAGCTTAAGCTGAATCTTCAATAGCGCGACAGTCAGAGACTATATGTCTGCAGATGACTTTTACAGTACAAAGTATAAACTAACCTGAGCATCTTTAAGCTGCGTCTTGAGCAGCGCGATCTCGCCGGCGCGCTGGCACAGACTCCACTCGGTGTCCTCGAGGCGCTGGCGCAGCAGCGCGCGCTCGCGGCGCACGCGCGCCAGCTCCGCCTCGCGCTCGTCGCGCCGCGCGTAGCCCTGCAGCAGGCGCGGCCGCACGCGCACGCGCTCCGATAGGCTGAAGACACGATTCAAAACTTAACATTCAAATCTCGATCAAAACATTTTAAATATTTTTATGTAAAGGTGTTATTATATACTTATTATGGTAAACAAAAACACAAAATTTGAAAAAAATTGAACCTAGACCATTATTAAGAAAGTTATGAGCAAAAAACCAAAAAATGTTAAAAAAAAAAATTATTTTTGAAACAGTTATCAAAAAAATCTCAAAATTTACCAAGAAGCCTCTTTTGAGAGGTACTAAAAGATACCAAAGTAAAAAGAAAATCAAAAATATGTGCCCTATATAATAAAATTGTAACTAAGTCGAATCTATACATTGAATATTTATTGGAAAATCTTATTATCATCGATACAGAGGCCGAATCTATAGTTTTTAGAATTTTTGTCTGTCTGTTAGTCAGTCTGTCTGTGAACGCATCACGAGAAAACTACTGGAGGGATTTTGATAAAATTTGGTATGATGATAGCTGGTTATCTGGGTCAACATATAAAATAGTTTTTATTACGGGGAAATATCTCATCTCTAAGAAATCTATACTAAATGTTAAAACGTAACGTGTAGGATAGATTTCTGAGAGATGAGATAAAATAAGTAAAGTTATATGAAAACAATGTATTATAGAATTATTCCTCTTAAAAATATCTTCCTATTAAACTAGCAACGCTATGTGCACGTACCTGGGGATGCACCCGAGCGAAGCGAGTGTAAGTCACTAATAAAGGAATAATTAATTAATTAATCAGTAATATATCTGATTATAATCTTGAGAAAACCTGCTTTACCGACTTAAATATTATTTTTTATCGTAGAAATCTGAAGATAGGATATGAAATATAGAGATTAAATGATTCTAAAATCCTTCAAAGTATAGCGTGATTTATAGTGTAAATTAACACATACCTATACTTTTTTTTCTTTATAAAAATATTATATATAATATATATATATATATATATATATATTATATATATATATATATATATATAATATATATATATATATATATATATATAATTCATATAAAAAAAAGCTAAAAGAAAATCAGACTTCACTCATTGCTATTCTAAATAACCAACCAGCTTTGCATATGAGTTATGCCTTTCTCATTTTTTACGATACTCTATATAGATATATTCATATATAAACATTCGTTTCACGGAACGATAATTAAGTAAGTCGAGACACCTATAATTTTGAGGTAAACTCTTGATGCATAATCTTATTTTTTGCTTTGAAAGTTGTTCTAGTTTTCTTTATAAAACAACGAAAGTTTAAACTAACTAGTATGTGGCGGGAAAGTATAAAACCAAGGATAAATAAATAAACTTTATTATTTACTACCGACTTACTTCCCTAGGTGCGTTTTAATTTTTTTGAGCAGAACCCTCATTCTTTTTCTAAAATAAAGTAGCCTATGTTACTGCTTATACCGAAAAAACAATACATAAATGGACTATGATAAATCTACGAAATATTTTTTATATATAATGTTAGTACCTATGTAACAGACAGATTAAGAAAATTAACTATCCGATTGTATGATTGAAGAACATTCAAAAACTTTAACAGTCCGTTAAAATGCTTATCTAACAGATTATGGTGAAAACTAAAAAGCTTACTAGTTTAAGGGAACGGTGAAGTCATTCGACAAATTTTGCGAAACTCGCCATTAGATCATAACGCAAGATCTATTGTTACAAATGTGTATAGATTTATATTTATACCTGTAATCATGTTGATCTCGTTCTAACTCCGCCACGCCGGAGTCGGCAGGCGAAGGCGCAGGCGCAGGCTCTTTGAACTCAGAGATCAATCCGGAGCTTGATTTTGTCCTGGAAATAATAGATTTTAACGTTGAAATGTAGTATTGATATAAAATAAAAATTTCTAAAAGCTTTAAAATACCCCAAAACAATTATCTCTGTTTTATAACTGTTTGTTGGATAAAACGTGGAAATTTTTTTTAGAACTATAAAAAAATATATTTCGTTTCATTTTAGTCATTGTTTATTCATAAGAAACGATTTAGTGAAACAAAATAGCAGTAAATCGATTATATTAGCAAAATATTTGATTCAGTAAATAAAAATCTATCATAACCCATCCCAAGGATATAACAACCGACAGATATGAGAAATGTCACACGAAAACATAAAAAAAGAATGATCACGATCAGATTACTAGTTTCGGAGAAATGCGTGGACAAACATACATATATACAAACATATACATACACCTATAAGATTTTGTATATTTATTTGAAAGCCCTAATAGATTATATATCGTATGTAAATATTTTGCAGTTACAATAATAAATAGATACGTGTCGAAACGATAACCTCCTTTTTTGAAGTCGGTTAAAAATATAAATAAGAACAGATTTATACTTAAAGATAAATTATAAATTAATGTTTTCGCAATGGCGCCATTTAGTTAATTGAATCACCTTTTTCAACAAAGGCTACAGGTTCGATCCAATTTCCTTATCACAGATAGATTATATCAATAAATTAATCGTAATTGATATTGCCATTCAAAAATGCATTCAATGATATAAATTTATTAAGTGTAAATGATTATGGTAATGGCCTATTATATTAATAATTAAGTGTAATAAAGTTTCGCAGTTATATCACATGGTATTATCTGTCATTAACTGTCGAACTGCTTTAAATGCGTGGGCTTTGGATATATTGAGATCATTGCCCGATAATTTAGTATTATTGATGATCAGAATTATGTATTTGTGCTATTTCTAAAGACATTTGTTAATTGTATAATTTTAAGAGTTAACCAAGCAATATATAGCGGTAGAATATTTCCATATCAGCTTTTTACTTTTATTACACAAAATAAACGTTCAAGGCTTACAGTAAATAGTAATCTATACATATAATAGAATTGTAACTGATCGCTGTCTGTATATGGAAGATATTTGAGAAAAACTATTATTGGGGGGTTTTTAACGCAATAGAACTCAAAACAATGATTTTTAGAATTGTCGTCTGTTTGTGCGTTTGTGCGCGCTAATCTCAGAAACGGCTTAACCGATCTGGGTCAGGTTTTCACTAATGTATTATGTATATATATTATATATATATATATATATATATATATATATATATATATATATATATATATATATATATATATTTGTTTTATTTCAACCGGTTCACAAATAAAAAAGTTATATCAATTTAAAGAATCACATAGTAATTAATAATTTATTGGGTACTGAACATACTAACATTAAATACATTATATATTTAATGTAATAAACCTTTTTTTACATGTAAGTAAATCGACTAAAGCAGAACGAAATCCTTAATTTTGTGACAAATATTCAAAAAACGTTCAAAAGAATTGCTTAAATAAAAAACCCCAGTTAAATTGTTTACATTTTTTATTATGACTGCATTATTTTTATCAGTGAGAAGTTTTACGCGTACGATTTAAATCGCAAGGGATATTGCCATATACGACGGAGTATTAAATATTTTATTACATTGTTGGTTTCGGCGTTCTTTTGCGTGTATATTTACGCATATCGTTTAATTTCTATAAGCAGCGTGCCAAATCACCTTTTATGTGACATTTAATTTGATTCAGAATAATTATTCTCAGAAGTGCTATTTAAAACTGCCTTTTTAATGGTTTTCATTCAAAGTTTTAGTTATTAATTTTAAAAAATAACTTCATATTTACATCGTGTTTGTTATTACGTACATAATATTTATCCCTTTACATCTTAATCAAAAAAAATATCATAACGATTTTTTTACCTGATTTGCAAGAAACTATAAAAAATATTCTACAGAGAAATTGTTTACGGTTAGTTAAGTTTTACACAGTAAGTATAGAATCTTTAAGTTTCTTTCCGCTTGGGCTATCTCGATAGCAAGTAGCGACTCAAACCATCTGCATTCATCTAGCGTACGGTAAAAGTTAAACTAAGGCTAGGCTGTCTTACAACGAGAAGGGCCTTTTGACGTTCAATTTATTAACTGAATGAACAAACAAGAAACAATTTTCTTTTTATTAATAGGAAGTTTTATAGATAAAAGACCCAGATTTGAAATAGTAGAGTATATTTTTTTTTATATTTAGAACTTTTTTTGTAAATAAATTCAGTTATAACCTGATGTTTCAAGATACCTTTCAATGATTTACGCGTTATTATGTAACAAACATCCAAACATCTACACAAATATTCACATTTAGAAGAGAAGAGATACTATTTAATCATATTAGTAGTATTTGATTCAGAATAAATATTGCAAGCACAATTATTAATGAATGCCTGTTTTGTAGATTTTAATTCAAACTTTACTGTTGTACCGCCGTATCCGGTGTAGGTCTGTATAAGATAACATTTAAGAGATATTTGATTTGACTATTATCAATTTTTAAACACGGTACCTTTGAGTACGATGAAGGAAAACATCGTGAGGAAACCTGCATGCTGAGAGTATCTATTAAGTTTTCGAAAGACATGTGAAGTCCGCCAACCCGCACTTGGCCAGCGTGGTGGACTATGGCCTAATCCCCCTAGTATTGAAGGGAGGCCCGTGCCCAGCAGCGGGACGTTAAAAAGGGATGAAAACAAAATTGATAATCATCCCTTTGTGAACACTAACAAAATTTGATCAGTTAATTTATTACCGAGTATATTATTACAAATTCGAAAATTTCCATGTGAGTATGTTTGTTGGATGGATGGGTTTAGATGAAAAGTTCAACAATGAGTAGGACCTATGCATTTACGCACGACGTGTGGGACTCACCGGCGTAATACAGCCAGTACTACCCACTAAAACCCAACAAAACCATCCCCCGTCTTAATGGGGAGTCGCAGGATCGCTTACGCATTCAACTACGACGCCCCGACGGCAGGTCTGCCGAAGCAGACCACCACAACCATGGGGTTGCTCCACAGTCCACTCTGCTATCAGAGAAGTACCAGGAGCAACCCGCATGGTACACCGCCCCCCGAAGAGGGCCACCTCCCACCGCCCAGCGAAGTGGGCAACCTCCCTGTGCGTTTCTTAGCTTCGCACCCGGTTGGATTGCCGGGCACTACTGAGCGCTCGCACCACGACAAGGTGAACGCACGTTGGGGAGGAACAATGAGTAGGACCTGAAGCAACACATAGGCTACTGTTAAGTTTAGGAATGCACTTGAGCGAAGCCAGGTCAAGTCGTTATTAATTATATTTGCAAGTCATTTTCTTACTATCGATTTATTCGTATGATCGAGAAAACTAGGATAATACTGAAATTAGATTAATATCTATATAAAATATGAATGTTATTTGTCATCTGTCTGCGGCAATTTGACAAGTAGTATATTCTATCTGCTTAGATGGTAAGTAAGTGCAAATGGGAATCGATAAGGCTATTACTGTCACAAGATTAATTTGTACGGCTTTATGGGCATAACTAAACCAAATCTTTAATTGATGTGAATATTCTTGGACTTTTAAAATTAAATTGTATTAATATATTAAATCAATTTTAATCCATAATTAAATTTTTATCTGTCTATAAAAATATATCTTATTAATATTCATACGGTTATTTGTATGATTCCATGCTTCTTCTTACTAATTGGATTGTGTTAATGGAGTTCATTTCCGGATAGAGGTTTATCTCCGTAGCATAAAATTTAGGATAGCGGTTCACGTCATAGAGGATAGAAGGAAAGCGCATTAAGCGATTTTAATTTATATGTCCGTAGCGACTCTACCTCGCTTCGCTCGGGTTCATACAAACTTTCATCCCCATTTTCACCTCCTTAAAGGATGATTTTCGGGATAAAGACTATGCTATGTCCTTGTTAGGGTTCCAAACTATCTTCTTACCAAATTTCATCTAAATCGGTTCAGTAGCTTCGGAGCTTATTCGGTACAAACAAACAAAAAACAAACAAAAATAATTCTTCTGTATAATTTTAGTATAGATTGGTGGGTTGAGGATAGGTACCAATGCGAGAGAGAAAGAGAGAAACTACCTACACATTATTCGGAGCTATAAAAACAAATTAATAGATAATAAATTTTTATGGTATTTTATGATATTCCTAATAAATAATATACATATATCGAATAGTAATAAAGTTTAGACTCCATTAATTTTGATTTTGAACTCATCTCAATCTCTCAACTCCTGAAGAGTGTACCTGCTAAAAATATTATTCGTACTAAATAATAAGTAATTAAGTAATCCATTAACTCGTATTTATAATCTAGATGATCATATTACTGGAAAATATGATATTTACAGTGTAAAAGATTTGAAGGCCTTATGTTAGGCTGAGGTATGTACGTAACGCTCCACAGCCTGTCTTGCTCCAGCGGCCGAGCGTGGCAAGACCCAGTTCGACCCAGTCGAAATGCCTTCTTTGAATTTTATATAATATGATATTTACTGTTATTTTTTCATACGTTATTTAGACTTTGTTTCAGAGTTTTAGTAAGTTTACACTTACGTTTTTGTAAGACATTTATTTTGGACGATTTATATATGCAATCGCTTCTTATACTCGTATATAGTTCCTTATTACATTATTTATTCACCCTTTTATTGCTAAGCAACTATTATACTATATACTATATATACTATGTATCCTGAACTAGCCAGACATATAGATTTTAGTTTATAAATATAATAATAAGAACATACATATATTCTCAATGAAATAGCGTTGGCAAAGCAGTTACTTCCTTTGAAGAAAACGGTTCCGTTTGAAATAATATCTTTTTATTTACTTATAAGCCTTGGAAAAAGATTCAAAGATTGAGAACGGAAGACATTACTCAACATAGTAAAAATA